TAAGATTTATTTTTAGAGATCTCACCCCGTGTTGGGGCACATTTTCAGGTACAGGTACCTCTGGGTTTGATACCTCTAGCGACAGGAGGTCGGAGTTGAGTTGAGCTGATTATGCATGTTGTCTTACTGACGTGTCTAGATAGTGATTATGTCTTACTATCAGTGTATGGTTATTTGATTTGAGACTTGTTTGGCTTTGTTGCCTTATTTGGTGAGCATGAGAGTTGTCCATGCCACATTAATATCAGACATGTTTGATTTAGACTTGATTTGTATAATGTATCAGGATATTGTCCGGTCTACATGTTGTAGCTCCGTGACTAGATACACAGTTATTTATACTCTGAGGTTATTCAGTTAGTTTTTTATTGCAGTTTACATACAAGCGATATTTTGAAAAAGAATAAGTAATCCACTTGGTAATAATTAATGACATCATAATTGGAAAGAAAAAGTTAGCTTCCGCATTTATTTAGCTGCGCTATTGCCATATGTATGTTTAATACACCGGGTGCACACTGAGTGTTACAAGTTGTTTATGATATATTCATGTTCTAGAGTTGATCCTAACGTTGTTTTGAGCGATTTCCACGGATTGGAATCCACATTTGCTTAATTTGGAGTTTTGTGGATTTTTCACATTGAGGTAAGTCATGGTATAGATAGTTAAAGAGTGATTTGGATATATTTTTCTTTGTTAAATATGCTTAGGATTGCTTCTTGATAAAAGAAAAAAAAGAAATCACAGTTTAACTCATTATAGAAAATCATGGTTTTTGGCTATATGTAAATTTTGAAAATTTAATGGTATGAGCAGTTGGAGGGTGATTTGTAGATGAGTCCCTTTATTAAACAAGCTTGGGATTGGTTTCCGTAAAAGGAAAAAAATATGAAATCGCCATTTAGAACACTTTGATAAATTGGACTCAAAATCAAGTGTAGGTGTCTTGTAGGTGTAGTATTAAAATTGAATGTGATAGATTAGTTATGTACTAAATTTCTTCACATCTTGGAACTAGGTGGTGACCTTGTGAGAGATCGTGATTGTGACTCTGTTGACATAAGATTTGTTGTAGGACATTGCTTGCCATGTAATCTTTCAATCCTTGAGGTTAATCCCCCCGTTTGTTCCACCAAACTTCGAGGGAGGGTGGTAGTTTGATATGGTATGTTGAAAATGATTTGTTATTTGGTGCATGTATATGTATGTATGTTTGTGTGCCACACAAGACGGTGTTTCCTTGTGTGAGGCATAAGACATTGTTTCCTTATGCATAGTATGATACGGTGTTTCCTCATACGGGTATGTTGCAAGATGGTGTTTCCTTGCGTAATTCATACAGTTTATATATTCTCAAGCTAGTAGGATTTGTTATTTGCACACTATATTGTCATACATATTCTGATGCATGCATGGATAATTTTATACTTTGATTATGCCTGAAGTGAACGTAGGGGTGGAGGAGCCCTCCAAAGACCCTTATTTAGTGAGATGGTTGATCTCACCCTATTTGGGGATTTACATTTTATGTGCATTAGCTGATGATATTGCGTATCACATGGCAAGAGGCCACGGGAGAGCTATTACTTGACATGAGATTTAGATGTCATTTTGTTTTGTATATGACATGCTTCACGAGTTTCCCTATCTTTGAGATGTATTCGTCATGATATTCTTTTATGAGCATAGGAGATGTCTATGCCTTGTTGATAGTATAAGCATGTTGGTAGTACTGTATGCATGGGTCTATGTGTAAGAACTTGCACCGTTAATTAAGGAAGTTAATTAATTAATTATGAGAAATTAGGAAATAATTTCATAATTGACTCTAATAATTATGATAAAGCTTAAATAATTATGGTAAAAAATTACTAATGCTGAAAGTCGCTTTTCTGACGAAAAGTGCAGATACCGGTTCGGTTACTCGGTATAAATGCGTACCTACGAAGTAACCCGGAAAATTATAATAAGTGTGGGAATATTCCTAGGATAATATGTAGGACGTGTAAAACAAGTTTCAAGTCAAAATAATAAGAACTGGTGCCAGAACTGATACTGGCTATGAAAAAGCGCGTACCGGAAAAGTGCTGCGAAAAATAAAATAAAAATATGAAAAAATTTAAAAAAATGAGTAGGTTCAGAATCTTTAGTTTGGGATTAAATTTCTAAGCATAGCAATTAGCGCTAATACAGTGCGATTAAGACTTAAGTGCCTATAAATAGTCATGGCACATGATCCTAGGTCAGATTTTTGCACCTCTACGTGAGTCTTTTGCTGAAGCTCCAAACCAGCCACCCTTCCTCTCCACTTTGTGAGCCAAGGGATCACCTTTTCTCTTGGTTTCTTCACCAAATCTCTTGGGGTGAGAGTGTAAAGTGCCTCCTTCAAGAGTTTAACATTTGGCTTGGCTTGTGAGGTCTTTGGGGGCTGACTTCTTGGTGGGAGTCTTGGGAGCCATTGTCATGGCATTTTGTGCTTCAAGGTGTGACCTTTGAAGAGAAAGGACCCTCCTTGGTGTGCCATTTTCGTGCACTTTGAAATCAGAACCTTGAGGAGCTGTTTGGTGAGCTCCAAGAGCACTATTTTCTCTGTTTTGAGCTTAGGTAAGTTCACCTACCTTGATCTTGAGTTTTAGTTGTTTAAATATTGAGTCTTGGCATGTTAATGGGTTAAACAAGTAACCAATCAGTTTATGAACTTAAAAGAGAGTAAAAATGCATGCTTTAACGTTTAGAAGTGTTAAAAATGGAACCTTGGAAGTGATATCTCGCGAAATGCAGAAACTGCATTCTGTCGCGAAATATCCGGATATTGATATCCGGATATGGGATCTGTGATATACGGATATGGATATTTGAATATAGATATCCGGATATGCCCCCGACATATATCCGAATATTCTGGGTTTTCGAGGAACAATAGTTGTACTGTTCATACAAAAAGCTGTTATGGGTTTGTGGACCCTAGATTGATGAAGTGAGACTTCTGTAATGATTAATCTAAGTTAGAATCTAAGTGATTAAGGGCTTATGGATTTGTGAGAAGCCTAAAGACATGAAACGTAAAGGAAATGCGTTGTCTTTATGTCATATGCTTGTATGTTTGAATATTGATATGATTGCTGGTCCAAAACAGATTGTGATTCTGCTGTGTTTGGGCTTTGAGCTTGGTTGGACTCTTGGCTTGGATTGTTAGCTTGCAAGGTAAGCTTTCGTGTCCTCGGTTTAGCCATTGTGTGGTTCCACCATACCCCATGGGGGAATAGTTTATATGCATGATGTGTTTACATGCTTTGATAATTGAAAATGCTATTGAGTTTTATGAGCAATGGCTTTTAATATGTATGTGTTTTTTCAATTAGACGGTAAGCCTGAGTATGTGGCGTCATACAAGACGGTGACACTGTGGGTGGGTGCAAGTGGCGTCTTGCACTAGTGTGGGTAATAGATGTATTCCTGCATTTCTATGGCCAGTAGATTAGTTATAACACACATGACATAATTATCTGCTGCATTGCACTGTTTTGGAACTTATACTGTTTAAATGTTTTTGGAACTTATATTGCACATGTAAGTGAGCTTGGGGTGGAAGATCCTTGAGGACCCCTTGTCGTACTGATATTTCTGTTTAGAGATCTCACCCCACGTTTGGGGCGCTTATTTCAGGTTCAGGTAATCCAGGGGTTGAGACCTCTAGTGGCAGGAGGCCGGAGCTTAGTTGATTGACATGTTTGATGATTATGCTGATGCACCTGCTTAGTGTTTATGCTTTATCCTTTATCATGCTGTTGGTATTGAGACTTGATGAGTATGCTGTTTATTTGGTGAGCATGGGGATTGTCCATGCCACATTGATTTGACGATGTTAAGTTTATTCGAGTTGTATAATTGTATCAGGATTATGTCCGGACTACGTGTTGTAGATCCGCGACTTAGATACTCACTTATTTATCTATTAAGGTATTTCAATTAGTTGTCTTTTGCATTTACATACAGGCGATGCTTTCGAAATAGAATTTAATAATCAACTTGGTTAATGATCATGACGTCATAATTGAAAAGAAAAAGATATTCCACATTTTTAATTAAGCGTGGCTTAATACGATGACATGTTAACAAATCAGGTATACACGAGGTGTTACACCATGCTACTTACCTAATTAAATCTCGTTTGGTTGGTTGATGTAATCATGTAAGTAGCTCTATGGACATTATTTTGGGAACTGTTATGTATGGGATAACCTATGCCATGGATGGCTGGGTAATGATTTATGCCTGGATTATATTAAACTGGTAATCAAGTTGAAATTATCATGGGATGAATTATTCCCCGTGGTCCGGAAGACAGACAAAATGGTGCCCATTTTATTGTGACCAAAGAAGCGATGAAAATTGTAATACATAGAAAAGGAAAAATTTAACCAGTTAGCTTCCGCATTTATTAAGTTTAAAACTTGCTGCGCTAAATATCATATGAATGCTAATTAATCGGCTGCAGACGGGGCGTTACAGTAGATGCGGCAATTGTGGTGGTGATGATGGCATGGTGGTGGTGGTGACGACAGTGGCTGCGGCGGTGGTGGTGGTGGTTGTGACAGTGGTGACAATGACATAGTGGTGATGGGTGGTGGTGGTGGTGGTGGTGGTAATGGTGGTCATACCGGGATGATGGTGATGGTGGAAATGATGGTAGAGGTGGGAAGTGATTGAGAGAAGTAAATGTTTCTTATTTTGTGCCAGGAACAACAAAAAAATAATTATTTTTTTTTTTCTGTTTCCCTCCACAAAAATCAAACCGGTTCATTCCGGGAACCAAAAAATAAACTGATTTTACCAAATGAGTTTTGATCAATTTCTATTTCACGAGAAGAGAAATTATAAAAAAATTAATTCCAAAAAGATTGTTATGCAGATCCTATATACTAAGACGCCTTATAACCAATATAGAATGGGAAGGTCAAAATGAATAAGCATATAGTTGAAGGATTTATACACAAACCTTAATGTTGATCTCAAGATTCTCTAGTGAAATGCATGATCGAAGTGCCAAGTAAAGTGCTAAGATATCTCTTCCTCCATTCAGATCTAAATCAATGCTTAAAGTTACCAAATTCACCAGCATATTTGTGCGAACTGAACCCTTAGAAGTCTAGAACAAGAAAAAAATGGAAGTAACATGAGAAAGAACCTAGTGCACAATAAACCTACATACCTTAATAAAATTAAAGACATAGACAATGATACATGTTAAACACAGGACTTTGTTCTGCTTAAAATGAAAATTGTGTTATTTAGGAAAACTTCCATTTATAAACAAAGATTAAACAAATGAAAGAAAAAATCATGAGCATAGAAAGGAGGAGTAGTTAATACCAAACGATTGGTGAAGGTTGTTAAAATCACTCTTGTTGTCAGAAGGACTCTTTGAAAATGCAATTTGGACATCCCACGAGCCTTTGGATCGGAGTAGTAGGCTCGAAAGACCCTAACTTTAGGAGCATCAATAACCAATCCTCTCCATTGACAAACCAATGTATCAAGTACCATAACCTCAAGGTTAGCAGCAAAAATTTCAATCCTAACCAATGTCATTTCTCTAAGCTCCAGGAATTTAATACGAAGACTGTGAATCCTGAGCCTTTTGATTTGCTTACAACCAATGAGGCATAGATGTTCCAATGACACACAATTCAAGAGAATCCCTTCAAACAGCTCTTCTGAAATCCATACCTTGTTTAACTTTAAGGTTTTCAAATTTTGACAAACGGGAAGAGGAGATGAATTTTTCAAGACGTAATTTGTCAATTTAAGCACAACACAACTTGCTAAGACACGAAAAGATAAATCTAATGTGGGTGGTACTATAATTTTAATACGAGTAGCCGTCAATGCATCACCCTTGAAATTCTGATAAAGATAAACCGGATCCCAAGATTCTCTAAATTGGCACTCCAAATCTAACTCTTGCACTCTTTTCTCATCAACTAGATATCTAATTAACCCCACTATATCCCCATTTCTACAACTATCTGTGATGTGTACAATTCGACAACTTCTTACGACACCACAGTGATGGACCAACATATTCCTGAACGACCTAATGAGATGCCCAAATTGAAACATGAGGTTGTCATACGCATCATATACTTCTTCTTGAGAGGTACCACGGTCGTTGTATATTTTAAACCATTGTTGAAATGCAAATTCTAGCATGCGATTTTGATCGAAATCGAGGTGTGAAGTGTAGCTCCACAAAGATCTCCATGACTTCGCAACCACGCTGGTTCTGAGAGCTTCTTCTACTGGGAGATAAGATATGATGGAAGAGAGAACATTATCTGGAAGCTTTTGGATCAGAACTTCTCTTTCATGAGATCTTTTCCATTGATTGCAAATGAAATTCACCAGAAACTCAATTGCAAAGAGGATGACGAGAGTGAAGCAGAGTGGTGGCATTCTCAGTGTTTCAGAGAAAAGGTTGATAGTAACTGCAGATTCAAGTATTTTTGAAAAGAAGACAACGTTTGTGATGTATGTAAAGAACCTTAGATACACCACCCAAAAGCTAGCTCAAGGGTGAGAGTGCCCAAGGCCTTATAAAGGCTATGTTAGTTGCCCATCCAATCAATGTGGGACTATATATCTCAACACGCCCCCTCACGCAAGAGCCCTTTAGGCTAGAAGCGTGGAAATTGCACAGGCCCATTTTCGGTTTACCTTTTTGTGCTTTTTTATTTTATTTTTAATTCCACTTTAAAGTGGGGGACGGTGAGGCTCTGATACCATGTAAAGAACCTTAGGATACACCACCCCAAAAGCTAGCTCGAAGGGTGGGAGTGCCCAAGGCCTTATAAAGGCCACATTAGTTGCACATCCAACCAATGTGAGACTATATCTCAACATACTCCCACCCCTTGAGCTAGCTTTTGGGGTGTTGTATCTCAAGGTTCTTTACATGGTATCAAAGCCTCACCATCCCCCGCTTTAAAAAGTGGAATTAAAATAAAAAGCACAAAAAGGTAAACCAAAAAATTGGGCCTGTGCAATTCCACGCTTCTCGCCCAAAGGGCTCTTGCGTGAGAGGGCGTGTTGAGATATATAGTCCCACATTGATTGGATGGGCAACTAATATGACCTTTATAAGACCTTGGACACTCTCACCCCTTGAGCTAGCTTTTGGGGTGTTGTATCTCAAGGTTCTTTACAATGTAGAGTCTAAAGACATTGATTTATTCAAGACCATAAATTATTTTATAATATTATAATGGTTGCATTAAAAGCACAATTTATTAACCTGTTGAAAAAATTACAGGAATTCAAACAATAGTTTCCACTGTCCAAATTTGAAGTCTTTCCATAAAAAAAAAAAAGAGATTTCTTTTTTAGTAGAAACGTTGAGATTTTTAATTAAAAATGATTTCTATATTGTTGTGTTTAAATGAAATTCTTTAAAAGCTCAAAATTTATAATTTAATTATTTCCAAAGTTTGTATTAAATATAATTTTGGAAGATATTTTTTTTTTTCAAAAAAAGAAAAAAGCACTTCCGTAATCGCTACTCAAGTGAAATTATCAAATAAGAAAGAAGGCTTCTGAGCCAAGTTTTTTATTATATTTTTCTTTTTAACTGGTTTCTAGAGTAAATTTAACTAAGATTTTAATCAATGGAAATATGTGTATAATTTTTACCCTCAGAAATGGCTTTTAGCAATTATTATTGTAAACAACATGAAGATTTTCTAGGTGACTCATTTGCATACAAACGATATTTTATATATGGGATAGGATATTGTGACACCCAAGTTATGTTACACCCATGTGACACTCAGTCAATCTCACCGTTAGATCGCTTATGTTGATCCAACGGTTATATTTATTTCCATCTTTGTATGGTCATGATTTCCCAAATTTAAAGTGAAAGCATTAAATATGAGAAATCATAACCATACAAAGGTAGAAATAAATATAAAATATTAAATTTCGGAAATCATGACCATACAAAGATGGAAATAAATATAACCGTTGGATCAACATAAGCGATCTAACGGTGAGATTGACTGGGTGTCACAATATCCTATCCCATTTGAAATGAAGTAAAATTTAGAATAATTAGCCAGTATGATTTCTCATCTTAGGTCACGCTGGATCTAACCAAAGACTACCATTATATTTTTTTGGTAAATAATATTTAAAATACCATAAATTGATAATTTTATTTATTTTGCAATAATATGATAAAAAGCTAAAGTGTTTTCAAATAGTATAGTTTATCTCTTTTTTATATTAATAATTTATAAATAAATAATTAAAGAAATAAATATTGAGAAAATTATTATTTTTATGGTATTGAGTTAAGTTTTTTTTTTTCGTGACTATAGTCAAGAGTCAATTTAAAAAGTCAATTAATAACTAGAAAGGCAAAGAATTTTTTTTAAAGAAACCAAAAAACATCCGGAGAGGATACAGAAAAAAGTCATTGGTGAAAGTTCGAATTGGCCTTGAAGGACGTAGCATCTGAGAGAGAAAAACAAAAAAAATTTCCGCAAGCGGAATACACATGCATGTCAAGATACATATATACTTTAAGACGTATGTCATACCTTGTTCGTGAAAACTCAAGATGATCAAGGTAGGTCTGAAGGGTTCAGACCCTCTAACGTTGATCCACACCACCCGCGTCTAGATACAGGAACTCCTTCCAGTAAAGCCGCTGACTGATCACCACAATAAGGCTTGCTATGCGCTCAATGTGTGATGAAAGGAGACTATGTAAAAGTGTTTAGAAGAGTGAAGTTTTCAGAGAGAAAATCTCACAAATGTGGCGCAGGAATAAGGAGAGAATGGCTTAGGCTTTTTCAAAACCCTAGGAGGAATATATATACTATTAGGCGCACAAGAAGTGATCAAGAGAGTCATGATGCAATCAGATTTTTAATCCTCAAAATCCCTTCAAAAGGGCGCACCAACAAGGAGAAATAAGAGGATTTGTTGCAAATCAAATCTTGCCAACAACATCCTATCATATCTTTATCACATTAGGTTCAAAGCCTAATCAAATATCTGATCATAAATCATCATATAATCAGCTATATGGTGCGCCCCATATAGCCTAAATAATGACCAGATACATTTAAGTAGTTACATTCAAACTTGAATCAAATCACTTAAATATTCTCCCAACAGATCGTATCTTCTGGAGCTGATTCTGATGACTAACCAACAACCAAATCAGCACCCCAAATCTTCTTAGATTATGTCCAAAAGATTTCCTCTTGATATGTTCCAACAAGATCTCATCTTATCCTTTTGTTATGAAACAACTTTTCATAGCCAATTCAAATTCGAATTTCAAACAGTTGAATTCAAACTTTCAAACACTTAAATTTTAAATTTAAATTCAAATTCTAAATTCAAATTCAAATTTCAAAATTCAAATTTCAAATTTCAAAATTCAAATTCAAAATTCAAATTTCAAAATTCAAATTTCAGATTTCAAAATTCAAATTCGAAATTCGAATTTCAAAATTCAAATTCAAAATTCAAATTTCAAAATTCAAATTTCAAATTTCAAATTCAAAATTCAAAATTTAAACATTTGATAATTAATTTAACTAATTAAATTAATTAGTAATGTCTTGGACTATCCAAGCCTATTACTTTGATCCATGCGCCCTCCACCCTATCTGTGGAGTTCCAAACTACTTCTTGGGCTAATAACAATTGTTAGACCCAATATCTTTAATGCTAGAGCATCTAAACAATTAGGTGTTAGTGTGTGACCCACTAGGTCCAACATAGCCACTGACATAAATGGGCTTGGGCCCAATAAGCCCACAACCCATCTAATGACAACACAAAGCACTAGCAATGCTTTATTGCCCCAGAACTAGTTAGATTAATGAATTGATCATCCTATTACACATATTTGGTTTCCGTATATATTTCCTTTCGTCTCGGTTACCTTCCCATAAAACCTAGGGTAAGGAAGCGTATCAACCCATGCAGTTTAGGGTAAGCTTTATTCGAAATAGGAAATCTTCAATTTACAGACTCTAAAGTCAGATCATCTCATGATCTCTTTTACTATGCATAGATTCCCGAGTCCCTGTAAATGTCATCCCGATTTCTCTGGTTTATAGATAACCTAATCTCTCACAGAGATTTGACGAATTCCTTCAGCTTATCACCCAAGCCATGTGCTCTTTCAGGACAAGCCCAACAGTATACCTATGAGTCTCCATGTTTCAGGCAGACGAGTTGCACAATCAAAGCATGCCTTCTAGAACACAGCCTAGGTAATAACTTCTGGTCTAAGGAAAAACATACCCAAATATAAAGAGACTACTTTAATGATACTCTCTGTGAGAGTTCCTCATAGAGTCTCTTTGTGGGTCTGTTCAGTGCGAGCTATACCCTTATAGGTCCACCCACGACTTTAGCTAAGACATCTCCATATCTGTAGCACATGAGGTCTATACCTTGTATCCATATACAAGTAGATAAGTCGTGCTAGTCTTACCCGAGATTACTGACCCCATTCTCAGTATCTCTAGACTAGGAACATAAAATTAGGAATAAACATCTGGTATTCTTGAATCCTCATGATTGTGATCTCATCACAGATACTCAAGAGATACCTATTTTATTCCACGGGGTTTATCAAGTTATTCATAATATATTAACATTAATATCGAGACAGAATTATGAAATAAGATATAGAGTGCTTTTATTTATTTGCGACAATATTAAAAAGGTCTACATCTATATCCTTATTTAATCATAAGATTGTCTCTAGGACACCCAAATACTAACAATTGGATCATTAATTATTAATAAATTGTGAATGATATTAGACATTAAGTTTTTATTTTTATATCAATATATATATATATATATATATATATATATATATATATATATTATATAGGGATAAACATTTCTACAGCCACTTTAGATAAGGTTATCTACAGTAACCATTTATAACTATGTTCTCTCAGGAGAACATAGTTACAACATTAAAGTTGTTTTTTTTTTCTCTCCGCAGTTACTTTTCAGAACTTGTTTGCTGACGTGGAGAAAGAGAAAAAAACAACTTTAATGTTATAACTATGTTCTACCGGGAGAACTTTGTTATAAATGGTAGTTGTCGATAACCTTATCTTGAGTGGCTGTAGAAATATTTTTTTCATATATATATCGAAAATCATTTTCTTATTTTAATAACTACAATATTAAAGCTCTTTGTTTTTCTCTCTCCTCAAACATTGTGAGGTGACATGATGGAGAGAAAAAAAATAATTTTACCATTATGAATATATACTTTCCGTAGTACATAATAATTTTTTTTTGTATGAAATAATTTTGTTCCAACAACATTAGAAAAATAGAAGCATATATATATATATATATATATGTAGGATCATTTGATATCAATGTCAAATTTCAAATTTGACATC